CGAGCTTCCAGTAATCGCGGTATTAAGTTTTCTCCCTGCCTTTCTAAAGCTCTTGGTATTTTGACAGTGATTTTGACTGGTCAAGGGTAAAATGAAGCCCACATAAGTATGATGCAGCAGAAAGAATTTTATTCTTTAGCTGTGACGCAGATGCACCAGCTTTGTGTTTAAAAACAGCCTTTGTTGACAAGGTCATCTAATGTGCCATTGCAACCCAAAGCTGGTTTGAGAACTGACGAGTAACTCTGCCAGTGGGTAAGGCTTTTTTTCCTAGCAAACGTCTGTTTTTATAACGGCATAGGATTAGAAATGTCAGTAAATCAGATCTACCTCCTGCCAATTGTGAGCCCTCCTGCAATTTGTTTAACTACCCACCAGCAAGAGAATTGTGAAAGCTGGATTTCATGTGTGCTGACTGCTGAGTATTTACAGCATTTATCCTTAAACTGTGCTTAAAGGAGCATGTAGCTAATTAAAAAGCAAGATTCGTCATACCTTTAAAACTGCGTTTTCTTTCAAGAGACATCTTTCAGTGCATCAATACATTTTTAATTTTAAAGCTGAACACAGTAATTCTCACTAGCTTGTTTTAAGGAGTAACCTTGCTAACAGTGGCAGTAAGGAGGCAAAGGATCAGTACACGCAGGCAGTGTTGGCATGCCAGGTAGTCTGGTGATCTTGCTACTGGCCATGTTTTTTTATTTCTGTTTTTCATGAGTTTTACTGCAGTGGCTTTGGAGGTTCTACTCATGAGAGGCACTCTCCCCATATCTTTGTGTTCCATGGGATGGGAGGGATGTCTGGGCCATGTAGGAACCCATTGGGGAGTCTGTAAGCCCACAAGTTGAGGGGCCAGGAAAGAAATGTGCAGCTAGTTCCCCATCTGCTATGCTTCTGATTAAAGTATTAAGCCTCCAGAATCTGCATTTCCTCCTATTTCATTGTGGCTAGGAAACCCCACAGGTTTCAGTTCCCAAAACCTTACCCAGTCGCTGCTCCCCTGCTGCAGCAGCAGTGCCCGTGCCCTTCTCGCTTCTGCTGTCTCGCTCATGAGAAAGGAAGGAGTGGGCTGCTGTCGCTGGGGCCCCACTGACGGGGGGAGCCAGCCCCTTACTTCCCTCCGCCTGAGCGTAGCCTGACACCCCTGCTTAGGCAGATACATAATTTCTCCCTCCCGTGACCCCTCAGCAGGGTCCTGGGGCATCTGCCTGGCTGTGGAGCCCGACCTTCTCTCTGTGATGCTTCCTGAAGCATCGAAGGTCAGCAGGTTTTACGGTTTATGTATAACCTGCAAAGACGTAGGGGAAAAGTCACATAAAGTGTCTGAAACTGTTTAATGATTTAATTATCAAGTAGTGATTTTGATGCAGCTTTCAATATGAAATAAGCAAAAATTCTGCATGTCTGAATGATGACAAATGCTGACCAGGGGCTCAGTTAGCGACCTGAGCTGTGCTCTGCCCTTCAGTGCTCCCCTTGGGCTTCTGCCTGCTGCAGTCCCTCTGAAGTGAGGAACATGGAAAAGCTTGGCTCTAGAAAACACCGCAAACGGCTTGTAAACAAAAAGAAAGGTTTATTTGGTTTAGAGCTTAGAAATAGCACACAAACCTAATGTTACAATGTACATATTGAAAAAGCTGTGTTTGCAGGGAAAACGGTTTAAAAAATAAACATGGCATCACTATATTTGTTCATTATAGAGCAATGCCAGAAGCTTATGTAGACAACTATGTAGCGTATAGACCACAGTAAATAGGAATTATATTTACCCTGTACTGTTTAGTATGTGGAAGCATTATAAAAGCTTGACATTGAGCTGTAATAATCTCATTTAAAATATTATTTTATTGTAAATAGTGAAATAATTTGTTTTATTCAATGTTTCTTTCTGCTTCCTCCCTCTAGTTGCCATTTTTTCCATAGTGGGTTGAGGATGGGAGGAGAGAAAAGTTTTAGAGGTTTTTTTGTTTGTTTAAAGGGTTGTTCATTTTCATGTGGAAATTTTTCAGCAACATGATGATTATATTTGTTTTATTTATATGAAATAAATAAGCAGAGTCGATGGATATTTTTGAAGCATCAAATGCAGTGCTTGCCTCAGCCCCCAGGTTTGGAAACAAGACTTCATCAGGCAAAACTGTCAGACTTCTGGAACAGAAGTTCACGACTGCCAGCGAGCCTTAGAACTCTAAAGTAATGCCATGTATTTATAATTGGAGCCATAATTCTTGCAGTGGTGTTAAGTCACTAGCATAGCAGTTAGGAAACTGCTTTTGCATTTATTTATGCCCGTCCTGTAAATTTCTGGTGTTCTAAGAAGCAATGGCTGGGGTGCTGCCGATGTCAGTAAGCGGTGCACCGGGCTGCCGAGGCTCCTCGGCAGGCGTAACCGTGCTGGGAAACCTGTGTCACGTAAGATACCTTTCTCCATTTTGTAAATGCTGAGGAGTCTTGTCTTTTGTGCGTGTGTTTAAGGTCTTGTGTTTAGCAAGTTATAGGCAGAGCTGTCTTTTTAAAGCTCAGATTTCCCCCACCTTATTTAGGTGCTAGACCATGTTTCAGCGTATGCTGGGCCCTGAGAAGCTGTGAAAAGCTAATGGATGTCTGGTTAGAGACTACATCTCCATGAATTTTTGCCTCCATCTCCTAGGACTCAGGCTGACCGCCAGATGATTTGTTGCCCAGAGAGCTTCGTGTCATGAATTAGTTAATAAGAGCAATGTGCTAGCAGTAGAATAAATGCACAGGTATTGGCATGCTAAATGAGCAAGGCTTTCATACTGTTTGTGTGACATAAAGCAAACTGTTACATAAAGTTGAAGCTAGCATGTGCTTGTTGCTTGGATTGATGTGGAAATATGTGTGGGTTTGGCAGAATATAGGCTATATTGCTAATCTTATAACACGTTCTTTAGGGTGAGGAAGCAAAAAACATTCCTGGTGAATCTGTAACAGAGGAGCAGTTTACCGACGAAGAAGGCAACGTCATCACAAGAAAAGTAATCATGAATTACATCACTGCTCTGAGTCTTTGCATTCAAGTAACTTCTTTTAATGTACTTTCTCCCTTCAGAATCTAGGAAAAAAAAAATCGATACTTTTCATGTATTGCTTCCCACAGATCACCCGGAAGGTAGTAAGACGTGTTGTTATCCCCCATGAGAGGAAAGTTGGTGAAATGGTAATGGAACGGGGACTACCAGGAAATAACAGTAGACACAGAGGGTTGTGTTGACTGCTAGAAAGTGCTGCTAAAGGGCTGGAGGTTTGCATTTAACGAGAAGCCTTGGCAAAGCGCGTGCTTGTGGTTATTGACAAGTTGTGCGTTTGGGTAACGGGGCAGGGGCTCTCTTCATGCTGTGTGCAGGCAGGGGCTGTGTCAAGGGGGCTCGGCTGAATCCTGTCGGCACATAAGCATTAAGGTCTGCTGCTGTGTAAGAGGCAGCTTAAACCGTCCCTTTGGGCCCTGTTTTGTGCCGGCAAGATGAGCCATGTCTGCGGGTTCGGTTAAGCCCTTGCAGAATTTGTGCCTCACACCCGTAGGTGCAGTGTGCTGCTTCAAAGGAATGAGCCGCAGTCTGGTCTCCACCGGCCTCTCACTCATCGGTGTAATACCCCTGTGCAATACTCCTGGGGGTCTGCAGGATTCAGGACAGCCTGAACACACCCAAGCAATAGTTCCCTTTACAGGCAAGCACTGAGACAGGATTTTGTCCCCGGCAATAAAAATCAGAAGCTCTTCTGCAAGGCTGGACTGTACCCAGCTTCAGGACGCCCAGAAAGAAAGGAGGGCAGCGGGAAAGGCACACCTGTAGTGGCCCAGCACACCCCAGCTCCTCTTGCCAGGGCGCTGGGGGTACGGGCAGGGGTGGGCAGGCTGTGCCCTGAGCTGTTCTCTGCCCCAAGGAGGCCATGGGGGAACAGGCAGTGCCTCTGGAGAGACAAATGGCTTTGGGGAGCTCATGCCTTGTTCCCCAGTGCATGGCCCTGGTGAAGTTGTCATTGGGGTAAATGGAATTTTTGTCTGAGTGAAAACAGATTCAGAAACAAGCAAAGACAACAAATACTCTTTATCTGCTGGTAATAAAGAAAAAAAAAAAGGAAAAGGAGCGGGGAGACAATGACACAGAAACAGGAGAGTTGAAACAAACACATTTCCATCCCCTCTTTCATAATCCTTTATCAGGTTAAAAATAAATCGTGCCCAGCAAGGGGAAAATATTTCCAATTTGCTACACCAGATTAGATTAGTCAGAAACTACAAATAGTTACAAATACATCAATGCAGATCACCCAAGGGGTGAATTCTGCCAATAACCACACATAAACGGATGCCTTTTTCTGATGCGAATGAGGCTTGTGATTACTGGAGTATTTATTTTTAGACGATTATTGAGCTACTTCTAATGAGCAAAGATGAACTTAGTTTTGGGGTTTGCTGTTTTAAAGTCACTGAAACCTGCACTACTTGTCACTGTCACTGTTTTTACTTCTGTGTTGCTTCAGTGGTGGTTTTTGCTGGCTTCCTTCCTCCTCCCTTTATTCCATTACTAACTCGCTCACTTTAAAGCACAGACATTGTGAAACATCATAACAGCAACCACGGCCTATGCTGTTGGGAATGTCGGCCAACCCTGGCTGACCAGGGAGGCCCTTTGGGAAAGGTGATTTTCCTTGATGGTGGCGCTGAATCCCGCTGCAGTTGGTGGCAGGGGCTCTGCTGAGGGCTGCCAGTCGGGCACTCCAGCCGAATTTCGGTCGTGCCGAAATTGTAGAGCTGTGTTTTCTACTGGAAGATGATATTTCAGGCCTGTGCTTTTGCAGCTCAGCAGAGTGGATAAGCAGATCGTGTGTATCTTTGAAATGAAGTGTTAATGTGATTTAACAGCTTTTTACTTATCCTGTTACAGCAAAATGTGGAGCCTGTTTTGGAAGCAGGTTTATAATTACGGGCGCTCTCTACAGACTATGTTAATGTTTATACTTTTCCTTTAAAGCAGGGAGAAGCTTATAAGGTTAAGACAAAGAAGGAAGTCAGACACGTGGAGAAGAAAAGTTACTCATGAAAGCTGAAAGCCGACCACCGAACGGTCAGTGTGATCAGTTTTCTTCCCCTGCTAAAGCCTTTTGCCAGCCCAGCGCTGCGCAGCACAGGGGCTGGCACCTGGGCTGCACAATGGCTTGCCTCTGCTACCTTGACGTTGCTTTTGAGCTGCAAAGCTGAATAGATGGCCCTTGATCTTGCAAGCGGAAAATGACCTCGAGTCTTTGCTTCTTGGAACATAAAGCAATACTGAGGCATATGTAAGACTTTGGGGAGTTTTACAAAGTGGACTGTTTGTAATCCAGGGAACTTTCTACTCCTAAAAGTCAACTTAGATTCAAAGAGCTGCACACGGGTAAATCTACTGGAAGTGAAAGGCTTCTTCCATTGTCAGGCATGTGATCTGAGGGCACTTATGCAAGTCAAAGTCCACGTAAGAGCCGGTGAAGTATTTCATTATTTGCCAAAAAAATAGTCCTTACCGTTTCTTGTGAATTTTATTGATCCAGCCTTAACGATTGTAAGAAAACAGCATCTGACGGCATAAAGGCTTCCCAAACCAAAACTAAATGCACAAGCTAAGACACCCTCACAGGGGCTCTGTAATGATGTGGGGGATCACAGTGAAGCAGGAGGCTGTTTTGTCTCGATCATGTAGTTATAGTTACCCAGCAAACGTGCCTGTAAATATGGTAGGAGCCAGTCTGTGTCTCTTAACGCTGGTCAGCCCGCCATGGCTTCAAGTGCGTATGTTCACCACGTTCATGTCTTTTTTCCACTTAGAACTTTCCTCGGCTTTGGCAGGTTTTAGTAATTGGACAGAGTGAGAGTTTATGAAGTGCAAATCTATGTGTTTTCCTTTTCCTATACATCTGGTATAGGATTGACGGCAGGATTTAAGAACAGGATAAACTGGCCCTGGAAAATGTACCGGATAGTGATGTGGAGGTAAAGGACAGAAGCAGTGCCTCTCCCGAGTCACTAGTCCTTTGCAACTGCTGCCATGTAGGGTAGCCCCTGAAGCTGTCTGGCCCCAGGGGCTCTCTGCGCGTGTGAGCAGTGTGTGAGCAGCACCGTGGAGACCAGCGGCGCTTGGCGCACAGGATCTGGCTGAGGGCTTTGTGGGATCAAGCCCTAAGGAGTGAGTTCTGTGAGGCGACTGGTGTGCTTCCAGCATCTGGGAAGCACCTACTGCATCCATCTAGCGTGACAGCTGAATTCCTGCTTTTACTGAGAGCCCTCCCACGTGTGCTGATAGAATAATACCACTTCGTGTGGCTTGCTGCTCAACGTACTCATAAAATGTTTAATGTTTTGAAAAGGGAGGTGATTCTTTTGACACACCTTTCTCCTTCATGGAGCTTAAGGATACAGGAGACAAGCAATCTAAATAAATGGTGCTGCTTGTATGAAATTGTGTCCAAGTTGGCTCCCATGCTTCTCCACTGCCAGTCTGCAGGGGGGAAACCAGTGGAAATTTGTGAATTTGAAGGCACTGAGGGAAAGTTGAACCCCATAAGCAGTACAGATAAAGAGCCTGCTGGCATACAAGCATGATGCAACACACACTGGGGATAAGGGAGAAGCATTTAATTTTAAAATAAAATTACATTAATAAGGCAGTCCTTGCCTAATGTATGAAGCATATTATGACCTTCAGAAAGCCAGAGTCTGAGTTCCTCAGAACCAGATTTGCTCCCATGACTGCTTCTGCATGTCTCCTGTGTTTTCCAGTAGGCAGTTCTTCTGTGCTGGAGTCCCTGAGGTTCTCAGAGAGTCTGCCTTAGATAATAAACCTTTGCTCAGGGGGGAACTTTGTCCCACAAGATGAAGTTCTGTGGTCAAACTTTGATATGATAAGCATGACCAAATGTACATTAAGTAATTGTGAGCTCGGTCAAAAGTCTATCGAAAATAACTTGTCTGAATGTCGAAGTGGATGTGTTTGGGCAGACAGGGGATTCCAATAGAAAATCAGTTTGTGTCTTGATCACAAAAGACAAAGAAATCCTGTTTGCGAGGCAGAGGTGTTGCTTTTCCTTTGGATGTTTAAGAAAAATTACAGTGCTAGCTAGATTTTGCTGTAAAAGTCAAAGGAAAAGGAGTAAAAAAGGTAAAAGTTAAAAGGAAAAGCTAAGAACTTTGGCGTGCAATTCTGCAGGACAGCACTGTGCGAGCTGGTATGCTTGCTGCAGTGTGAATAGGCAGCGTTAACAGCGGGATAGATTTATGACAGCCATGGATGTGGGCAAGGACAGATTGTTTTAGCATAGAAGGAGAATGCGAGCACTCCTGGGGAATGCGTGTGGACCTGTGACCTGATTAGTAAACAGACATGTCCACGCCAGCCTGAATCCCGCAGGCGCTGGCTGCGCAAGCTGCTCTCCCAAACAGGCTTCCCCAGGTGCTGGGGAGCTCGCAGGCCTCCCAGCTGCCCTTCGCCGGTGTGTTTGGATTTCTGCTTCCCGCCTCTTTGCTGCAAGACATGGCTGGTGTACGACAGATGTAACAAACTTGCTGTCCTTATGTGTACGGCTACGTGGCTGCTTTTGGATGGGCGAGAGAGCAGGAGCTGGACACTCTCCTAGGCAGGAGATGGACGGGGCTGCTGCCCTCCCTCGCTCTGTCCTTCACCAACCCTCCTAAAGGGTGTTCCCGGCTCTCCCAGGGTGACTGGCAGAGGAGGATGTGCAAGGAGTGCAGGTTTTGCACCACTGTGGGGATGCCTGAAAACAGTAAATGAAAATGTGCCATGAAAGCATCTGCTTTCTCATTCTGGAGATGGTGCTGTTTCTTCTGCTACGCAGATTACCTGTTCCTCATCATCGACCGATCTGACGAGCTGGTACTTTGTCTGCGGTGATGAAATGCAGCATGTTGCAAACGTGTGTGTTAAATCAGTTCACAAACAACATGGGCATCTGCAGCTGCATTTTCGTTTCATGCTAGACACTCAGCTAATGTCATTACCTACCTTGAAAGTGCGTGATTTGTCCTATTGCAGAATTCCATAATGCCAATTAGAAGTTTCTTGTTTACTCAGGAAAAGGCATGGAATTGATTCTGACCTGGCTTTGTGCTGTCTTTTGTTTCCATAGGTCTGTGTGCTTTTACTGCCAGTATTCTAGAGGGGCACTCACGGAAGAAAATCAACAGGAATTAAACATTCACCTATAAAAGTGTGCGTGTGTTTGCTGCTTCCACACATTAACCGCATGGTTTTTATGCAAAAACAAACAAACAAAAAAAAACAAAGAAAAAAAAACCAAACAAAATTAATTTAGCATGAGCCAATTTACAGAGCATGGAAATTCACGTTCATTCACGGGATTGGAGGGTGCGCAGTTACCAATGCAGTGTATATACAAGATGCCATGCTGTTAACAGCTTCTTTCAAGCAGTTTGATGTCATCTCAAAAGAATTAAATTCCTGTGGCCAGAGGGAATGTATGAAGACAAAATGGTTAAACCATGGAAAGACACTAAAATTACTAAAATCCACAACAGCTCGCCTTATTTTTCTTGGACCCAAACTGTCAGGGTATAAAACACTATTTGTTTCTTTTTTAAACATCAATAGTTTTGCTGTAAATAAATAACACTGTATAAATTCTAACAGAATAGAATAAATGTTGATAAGGCACTGCCTTTTCGATCACAAACAGAATATTGCAAATGCATTGAGCAGGCTAGGTGTCTCAGACGGCTGCACCTACAGGGATATTCTGGGTGTATCTTCACAGATTCTTGTATATTAGCAATTATAATGTTTGTATATGCAAAAACGCTAGCTTGATTTTAAAAAAATCTTTAAAATCTGCTGCAAATTTAAATGATTCCCAAAATGAGGAATTCTGTAGTTCTGTGAAAATTTTTCTTCAGAGTACTAATATTTTGATGCATGTGTTTCACCTTATTTTGATTAAATCTTTTCCAGTTTTGCAAACACTATACCGCAACATGAAAAATAAGATTTTATCTGTAAACACAAAGCCCTTCATCTAATATTTGTTGCTGTTGCCAATTTTTCAATGAAATGACCTAAAACCCATAACATATACAGTAGTTGCATTATGGGGAGGGGGGTGCTATCTGTTCTCGCTTTGTAATGGGGGTAATGCTTGCAGCTTTAGAAGTGGGTTGGTGCTCTAAGGAGCACAAGTTTGGGATATTTTTAAATGAACTGAAGAGAAATTATTAGCTAATAGACTGGCAGCACGCTGTAAAATTATTACTGTATTGTGTACTGGCTATAAGATGTAGAATCTTTCAGTAAGCCAATCATCTGTAATCATCCTAGCAGTGTAATATTAGGTTGTTAAGGCTGCTGTGTTTTAAAGGGCATTTTTATTTGGGTTTTGGTGAAATACTTTAATTTGTTGATTATATTCATATGGAAACAGCATTCATTGATAATAGCTCTAATTACATATGTATGAAAACAACAAACACTGGATGATCTAGTTGATTATTTAAGCATAAAATAAATTGTGTTAAAACTCTTGGATAACGTGTATTTGGAAGTGTTCTTGTACCCTATAGACGTGCGGCTTTGCAGGGCCAGCTGTTCATCACTCCTGGCTTTTTGGTTTTTTTCCTCTCACTTTCTTTTTTTCTGATCCACCTCCTCTTCCCAGTGTGACAGACCATCACTTGGCTTCTGTCCCAGGTCGGGGGAACAGGAGGAAAACACCACAGCCAGCACATCCTCAAGCAGAGCTAAGGAAACCCATCTCCCTGGGAGGCAGGAGACTCCTCGGGCTTGGGGAAAGGACGTGTGCGACATGAGTGTGTGCAGCCTCTACTCCAACACTTGCTAACTCTGAACCTCCTTTTATTTCTTTCGCCCCATTGAGAACTAGGAAAAGCACTACCAAAAGCAGGTTTTTTTCCCCAACATGTATCAGTGAGACCAATCACCAGCTCACTGCACGTAACATTGTCGTGGTTTGACCCTGACCAGCAGCCAGGGACCCACACAGCCACTCTCTCACTCCCCCTGCTCCACCAGACAGGGGGAGAAAAATATTTCAAACGGCTTAAGGTTTGAGATAAGGACAGGGAGATCACTTTCATTTACTGTCCCGGGCAAAACAGACTCGATTTTGGGGAAAAAATTACATTTATTAAAAGAACAAATCAGAGAGGAGTAGTGAGAAATAAGAAAGAGCAAACAGATCTTAAAAGCAAAACACCTTCCCCCCATCCCTCCCTTCTTCCCGGGCTCCACATTAATCCCGGTTCCCACCCCCTCCCCCCGAGCGGCGCAGGGGGACAGGGAAGGGGGTTTACGGGCAGTTCATCCGATGTTGACTCCACCGCTTCTTCCGGTCTCCGGGGCAGGGCTTTCCACTCTTCCCAGGGTCATTGTGGGGT